AGTTGCTCTGTCCGCAACTACGCCAGATACGGTAAACGACTACAGACGTTTCCTGACGTGGCAGCGGGTCTTTCGGCCTCATGACTGTCTTCAGCAACCGATACAAGAGGGTGGATAGAGGTGTGAGACAGAGAATTTCCTCCCAGTTACTTTAACCCGCAGCTTATGGAGAGTCATTTAACACCATATGACGGGGTACTTAATGTTTTTAAATCTGGGTAGGTCCCATTTTAGTCTTTGTGCCGGTCATTAATATCTTAGGCTTGTTATTTCCCCTCAAGAAAACTGAATGAGAGTAATAGATCTGACCTATCCCGCAGGCGCTATTTGACTTTGACATCAGGAAGGCTTTCGATAGGATGCCCCATCCGCGTTTTTATACAAAAAATCTGAGTGCGGGATCTATTGCGCCATGTTGGACAGATAAAACGCTTTCGGCGAGGATAGTATATGTAGGCCCGTGGACTCCTATAATAGGGAAGGGTGTTCGTAAGAGTTTTATCAGCAGGGTAGATGGGCGCGACGGTTAACGGAGTTTGCAGAAAACGGCGAGAAAACTTTCATGTCGGCTAAATGCTTGTTTTACTGCTACAGCGAGGCGCCGGAGCAAATTGTGCGGTTTGAAAGGTGTGAATTGTGCGATTAAACGGGCGGAAGACAAATAATTGCAAATGGCCAGAGGAAGCCGGCTAAGATAAGACATTATGCGGCGGGCAAACTTAGCCCTACCCTAACTCTTTAACCCATCCCTGACCCTAAACTTAACATTAACCTTAACCCTACACTCAGTCCTTTTCGTAAGCTATCCGACAACATAAATTCAACATAAAATGCCCATTTAACTCAATTAAGTAGTCATGTTGAAGTAATAAAAAGCATGGATCTCTACACTCAGTCGATACCGGGCCTCCTTTCGCCTGGGTTGCAGAAGCTATTTTTGACATGATAGCGCCTGAATGGCCGTGAGGCTGCAGTGATTATCATCTATGCACATATCTGGGAAATAATCAGCAGCCCTGACGACATGAAGAAACTGTAAGAAAATGTGGGCAACCTGACTATCTTTTCAACTAAGTCGCTTCTAACATCTAAGGCAGCAAACTGGGAAATACAGAAATAGGAAGGTAATCAGAGATATGTCCCAGTGCACTAATATTGCATGAATGTCATTCTACTAACAGGTACTCATGCTCAAACGGTTCTGAAAATCTGATGTTGTCGCAACAATGGAAAAGTGCTGTCCAGGAAGTAATTGATTTCATACCCTGGATTTTGCGTTCTTTCATCATCATTTCACCTAAACACTTCGAATCAAAGCCAAAGCCAGTTTTAAGTCAGTCCCACCAAAGGTTTTTGAAGTCAGCCGGCGTTTTTAGGGAGGCTTTCAGTTGTTAGGTGTAGGTATCATCGAATTAGTCAAAACTCAAGTAAGTACATTAAATAAGCGCCATTATGCGTAGTACTTAAAGAAAAGGTAATGCAACTGGCCAAAATGTAGAAAGCACTGTACAAGAACGTTTGGACATGATTTACTGGAATTATCACTTTACTCTAGAGGAGATAACGGATGTACCCTTTTTTCGGCTTCCAAATGATTACCATTCACCCGTAAATTTTTATTCTATACACAGAATTTAGACTTGCAGAAGTTAAAACCGCGCACTTTCGGCTTTACCAAACTAACAACACCCTACATTTATCAGGGAATACACAGTAAAACGTTTGGGAGACGTCTTTGATGGTCAGAGGCGAAACTTTAATGGAACTTGAAATCCACGAAAATCAAATTTTTTTGAAAAAAAACGTTATGCGTACTTTGAAGATGCCCAATACAGTCAGCTGATCAAAGTGTGAAAAACTCGACGACCTTGGTAAGAATCAAACACACGATATGACTAGTGATACTTTAGGGTAAGGTGATACCATATTAACAGCGCAGTTACTAGGCAAAAGCCCATACACGCGTGTTTCACCGATATTCTACCGCTGCATGACGCAGCTACTGACGACTCACTGAATGACTGCTGACGAGCCGAACCCCTCGCATCTGCGCCATGCGGCGGCAGAATATGGGCGAAACATACGTGAATGGGCTTTTGACTAGTACCTGTGCTGTTAGTATGGTATCACCTTACCCTAGAGTATACTACTAGCTGCCTGTGGGCAGTTAATGAATATAACGCGGTTACCTGCTATGCCTGAGGGACTTCAGCCCAAATATTCATGCATAAAATTCTCGGTTTGAGCCTATAGGCATTGAATAAACTGATCTACGCCAAGTTCGTAGATGATTTCTGAGGAAATTTAAAAACGAAAATTTCAGTAAACTGCAAAAAAACAAATTAAAAAATCGTATCGCTGCCCTAAAATCTAGCAGATTCTCCAAGATCTTTTTTCAGTCTTCGACTTCCTAACTGATGGAACATGTCACCGTGTCTACAGAAATGTCATGAATATGGCTTCATAAGGCAGATTCTCGATGTGAACTCCACTTTACATCAGTAAAACCACTTGAACACTTGACAGCTGTATACATTAGAATTGTTTTGCGAAAAGGCGGCACATTCTCACCTCCTCCACATCTTCAGGAAATCCTTCCGAGGGATTCGTGATGAGCGAGAGGACCAGGGTGAGTGCTCGCTCATCCTTCATGTGCCAGTATTTGCACATAAGTTCCAACAACTTGGCCGGATCATCACTATCAGCCAGACGGAGAAACTATAAAAGACAAAAAACGACTGAAGAGACAAAGGAAGTGTTTATCCTTGCGAGAGAAGATGGTGAGATGCGGTTATGTAGCCCCACCTGATGGACACAATACCGTCGGTGTTGGCGTTAGGGGTTATGGTCAGTGGTTAGGGTTGGGGGTTATGGTTAAAGGCTAGAGTTAGCGGTTGGGGTTTAGAATAAGGGGTTAGAGTTATGGGCTCGAGTTAGAGTTAGGGATTAGGGCAACTACTTCTCAACCACTCAAAGTACAACCGCGCATTCCCAATAGCCTTTCTTTTGCATACAACTACTTGGGCTCGTCGCCTGTACGTTCCCCGGCCCCACCTGTAAAAACCCCCACTACGACTTGTTCCGTATTACAGGCGTCTGGGGTTCGTTTACTCCAGGTGGGGCTAAATAACCACGACTGCCCAAAAAGATCTAATACTGTTCATAATCCATCAGTGACAGCTACATTTCATGGCTTCTCTATGCTGCCAAACAAGTTCTCTCCAATTACTGGTTTTTGTGGTGGGTTAGTCTCTCAGGGTTCTCCTGTAATCATTAAGCATGTTTTTTAGAAAGGAAATCGACCCAAAGAAATCGATTTATTGTCGGTGTCTTGAGAAGGCAAGGCTCAGTTAATTTGACTGCGCGGTTAGTTGGCCAGCAGTGTAGTGTCATGCTCCAGCCCTGTATGATTCTGGGATTCAGCAAAGCAGTCAGACCTGGCTCTCTGCCCCATGGAACTGCGAGCGCTCTCGCTAGGGACCCGCTCCACTCAGTGTTCGCTACGTGCCGCCTTTGTTCCCTCAATGTTACATCGCTGATCTCTGGGACGGGGTCTGTGATATTCAGATGAGCGACTAGTGTATTTAGCTCCAAACGACCCCAAATGAGGTTTTCTACGTATGCCCAAACGGAAACTGAAAGCCTGCAGATGGGCATGATGTTAAGGACGCCGTAGATTGCGATGTGAACTTTTTTGAATTAAAAGACGCTCACTCGTCTTGCGTTCTCACGGGCAATTTGTCCAAGATGTCCGTGCTTGCGCTGAAGGACTTTGGCCCAAATATTCATACATACAGTTCTCGGTCTGAGCCTATAGACCCTGAATAAACTGATCTACTCCAAGTTCATAGATAATTTCTGAGGAAATCTAAAAAGCGACAAAAGTGATACTAGTCGCATGAAACGAATATCTCGAGGTTGTTTCACCCTACAGCAGAGACGCCAGCGAAACACGTGTTGCGTCATCTGGGAAAAGCGTATGTTTGGAGTATTGTGGAGTCACCGTCACTTTCAATTCATTCACTAGCAACTGATTACTCGCGTACTTTCACGTAGAGAGCGCGGTTATACGACCTCTTCAGCCTTACGCACAGGTGTTCTGCCCTAGCATGCCGGCACTTTTTAGCTTTTCTCACCAATCAATCATAGACATCGACACGAACCCTGCTCCGACTCAGCCGACAGTTCAGCCATGGGAAACGACGAGGCCTGGCACGCGACATACGCGGGTATTAGTTTAAAATGGACCCTTTTTGCCGAACCTACCCCACATCCCGCCTCACACAACCGTCCTGTCCTCTTGGAAAGAGTCAGGGTATGAGTGTGAACGCAGTGGACCTTCAAAGTTAAAAACGACCGTCTCCTGATGTCAGCTAGTCGATTAAGAATAATTATTAACGGTTACTCACCAAGTGTAAGTAGTATAAACGTAACATAAACGCTCTGTCATAATGTACCGGCACTTCTTAGCCTTTATCGCCAGCCAATCACAGACATGGGCGCGAAAGTTGCTCCGACCCAGCCGATAGTTCGGCCTTCGCAAATGACGAGGTCTAGCGCGCGACACGCACGGGGATCTGTTTAAAATGGACCGGTTTTCGCTGCACCTAGCCTATCTCCCGCCTCACACGACCGTTGTGTCCCTTTAGTAAGTCTAGATCAAAGAGCCAGGGAATGAGTGTGGAGGCAGTGGGCCTTCAAAACTAATAAAGATTGTCTCCTTGAGCCACGCGTATAAATATATCCCCTGGCACCGAACACGTCAGGTCACGACACAACCGTTTAATCGGTCCAAATAAGTGCACGGTGATTTTTCGAGGTGGTGTACTGGCCTCTCACTGGCTGGATGACAACTGGGCCTAATTGGTGGAACCGGTGTATGCAGTGACAGACCATTGTAAACAAGGCAGGTAACAGTCAATCAGCTGGCTGACCAGACACGCTTTGTTGGCATCGGAACCGTGCCGGAAGCCTGAGCCAGAAGGACTCTCTCCTGCAGTATGCGGACATCATCATCATCATCATTCCTTTTCCCTTTTACTCTTGTGATAATCACCCTTTTCTGTATTAATGGTTCCAACTGCGCTAGGAACAGGTGAGTGTCTTATCATGTCTGCCAATTTGGAAGATGCCTCTTATTGTTATGGAACTCAAATGTTTTTTTATTGAAGCTCAGGGGCACTCTCTCATCTTATAATGCATGTTCTAGCCTCGGGACACGTGCATAACGGGTAATCTGTCTGAGTGCTTCCGTCCTGGCAATTGGTAGCAATGTGTTAGAAAACATCAAACCTTGAGAAATGTAAAGGTCTCACTGGATCAGGGGAATTGTATGGCTGACGTTTCGGAGGGCTTGGTCGGCTCTCCATTCTCAAAGCATTTTATGCAGATGCTCGGCCAGAATTTGAAATCGAGAGCCGAACTAGTTGACCCTGAGCAGATCGATTTTTCCTCCTTCCACTACCTTGGCCTTCTGAAATTTGTTTGGGAATCCTGACAGCCTCCTGCCGGGGGGGATTTAGTCGATAGGCTGTATTTGCTTGGTACTTTTAAGCCCTGTGTGACCGTCCTGTCTTGGTTATGGCGCATGTAATGGCGTAGGACCTCAAGGCCGCAGGAAAGTCCAGGTGTCTGTTGATAGAGTTGGCATCTGAGTATCAAGCCTCAAGTGCGAGGCGTTCTCTCCTTGAGGTGCCCTGGCTTTAGGTAATTGCTCCTAGGGAGTCAACACTATGGCCATTTTCTCCAATGGATTTTGAAAACTGTGAGTTTGGGTCTAGCCTTCGAGTTGCCAGTTTGCGCTCACGTAGACGGATCTGAGATTTCCGACTGGTGCATGAATTACCAGCATCTGACACTGTCTTTGATGATGGGTTCGAGCATGAATCCAAAACATCAGGCGAATAAACATCTTGTTCCAGCGATCTACTATTCCCAGTTTATCGCGACGACTAATGCGTGGGTGTAACGGAGAATTTGGAAAATCAAGTATAATTAACATTTTGTAGGAGGATAAGAGTAACCGATGCGGCGCGGGTTCTGACCTAGTTCAGGGATAAATAATGCTAACGGTCGCTTGAGCGTCCCTCCATCTTGTAAAGCTAACCCAACTGGTGAAGAAACAGGACCATTTGACATCGCTTTCCTATACTCTCAGTAATTTGGTCCAAACTTACTTAAAATACTGCAATATACTTTTTTATTACATCCCCTTTATGGGGAATATGTCCTTCTGTTTTTACCGGTGTGGTGTAGTATACTGTTGGAAGAGTTAGTGCTGTTGAGAATGCGCCAGAGACTGGAATGATGGTTCACGGAGTCAACCATCTGCACGTTTAATAATGCTACCTTTAAAGTAGGCAACACAGGCCCTGTGTGCTAATATATTTTATGAGAGACGGCAGACGTCCACATTTAGGCACAAAGAAAGCATGTGTTTGTTTTGGAAAATATACACAGAGTATACTCTTCCTAGCTTCCCAAAACAGGCAGCAGCACTCAGGCAGATTATCCGTTGTGCAGAGGCTGGAACATTCATTACGTGAGGAATAAGGCGGCACGCCTTGGCACAGGCTTACGCAGCATCAGCCGTCTACGCCCAATCCCCGCATTAGATGGCTAACCGGCTCGGAGAGTGAACTGGTGCCTGGAAGGGGGAAGAGAGAGTGAGGTCGATTCTGCGGACCTTGCCCCGCTAACGGGATAGCTCTAGCCTGTCCTGGGGTCGGGCTGCGATGACTCCTTCTTAATGACGCCTCTATGACACTCCTACTCGAGTGGAATCCGAGCCGTCCCTCTGTTATCCTGGTGAGACCCTCAGCCACCGTGCACGAAAAAGGCGAGTGTGCCACGCTTAGGGCGGTTGTTTAGCTTTGTCAGTCACTGTGTTTGATCCTGTCTCTGGTCTTCTTGACGCTGGGCCCAGCTGGATGAGGGAGGAGGGAGCGCAGTAGATGCTGTACAAGTCCACCATGATTAAAAACTACTTCACACGTAAGTTACCGTGCCTGCGCCCACCCTACCGGTGGACATTTTCGTCCGCGAAGGTCGTTCTGCCGCCCCCGCCCCCCCTAGTCTGCATCAAGGACTAGAATACCGCAAACAAGACTCTGTCGGCGCGGACGTGCTGCGCCCTTCGGTTGAGCCAGTGAATGTTAATGTTCAAGTCGGTGCACTGGGTCATAGTCAAGGGTGACGCCTAGCAGGAGTTTTCGTGCGCCTGCCGACTGACTGATTACGAATCGACCCTGTTTACTTGTAATAGCCGATCCACGAAGGTAAGTTGCGATGCCCGCTTTTTGATGTGGTTAGTTTATTATTGAGAACTGCCTACTTTATTTACCAAAGTAGACGTTGTTTGTAAGTTTTCAGTCGGAAACTAGTCATGCCCCTCGACGGCTCCAAGCATCAGTAACACGTTGACACTTGCAAGTAAAGCAGTAGTAGGTGTTTTTGCGATTATAGCAAAAGCACCTAATGGCCTAGGGTGTAAGCGTAATCAGAGGGCTCATCACTTTCCTAAAACTTGTAGATATCCGGAGTTAGAAAAGCTTCTGACGCAGCTGTGGATAAAGGACAAGAATCGCTTGAATATTCCTCAGCATATTGTCCTGAACTTGCAAGGTAAGCCGCTAGAATTCCGAGCTTTTGATACTGTTGGTAGTAATGCTTCTGTGGAATTCAGTTAACCGCCGCAACCTAGATTTTCAAATTAGGCTCAAAATTCCAGTTCTTCGTCAGTCTCAAAAATACTCTTATCCAAGCTTTCGTATTTGGGCTTGCTACTGAAATTGCCTGAGTAATATCTGCCTATTCGGATAAGTCTACATGTGTGCCTACTGACGTGATTTCCCGGTATACCAGGGTTCGCTTAAAACACTAATAATGAACACTTTTCTCCCTTGGGATCCACAGCTTTCTCATCCGAGACTAAGTCTGCTGGAAGTCTTATCGTTGCATGTTACCAGGTAATTTGGCTTCCCTGAGAGAACCACGAATGACTGTCGAGGCATTCAAATGACAACCTACTGGCTCGGAAATAATTTCACGTGGAGCATTATATATTGCCGGCGGGTCCTGTTTAGGTCACCGGAATCGAACCTTGTCGAGAAAACATCGGGGAGGTTGGGACAGTAACAATATCCTTATTGCAAGACGTGAAGTCCAGGGCGGCATTCGGGCGTCTTTAATCGATGCGTGCATTTTTTACACTAGTTTCCGAAAATCTTCTAAATTCAAACATATTTTATGGAAAATCTGCATAAAAATATGCTTTATTGTATTGGTTTGGTAGAAAATCACATTGTCTTTTCATTTCAGATCCGAAGAAAGTGTATATTTAGGTTTTGAAAAAGGTTCCCGATTACCGAATAATTTTAAGACAGATCAGACGTTGCATTAGCGTTTACTGATTTCATTCTACAATGTGCATAATTTCTGCGTAAGGAAACTGATGTATCCCTCTAAATCTTTAAAAATATACCATGTAGAGCTCATAAAAGCTTGCAGTGGACGCGAACTATGTTGTGCATTCCATGAGTAGCACTGGTAAACGGACATGTGTGATTAAGTATGAAGGGACATCACACGGTCTTAAAAATTTCATAATCAGAATCTTTTTAAAACCGAACGATAACCTTTTCTAGGGTATTAACTATAAAGGCACTGTTATTTTCTACCAAACGAGTAAAAGAAGCCATACTTTTGTGCATGTTTTGTATAAAATATATTTGAATTTATAAGACCATCGAAAATTAATGTGACAAATACATGCTACTTAAGTAGTTGATGTTTACCGAGTGTAGCTTCCTCAGGAGGTTAGAAAGAAGTGCATTCAAAAGCAGGCACCCCGGGAAGTCCGAAACTTTATAGATTTATGCCGCCAAATAATCAACATTACAACCCCACCCAAAAAATCCTTCCTTATCGAAAACGCATTTCAGAATTTCGGCCAATATTTCATGAGATCGGTCACTCACTGTAAATTGCTTTGGGCCTCTTCTTGGAATGGGACACCTAGACAACAATCAAGAGAGCATATTTTGTTGAGCTGCCTGATGTAGACCTCAAGCGTGATGCTGAAAACTGTGAATAACAACCATTCAGTGCTAGAGAGGGAAAACAGACTTCTGAGCACTCGAAGGATAAGCCTTGCACAGTGGTGCATTTTTCTCGTGATCTCGCCTCCAGCCTCCGAACTAACCGACTGCAGTGCATGAAAGAAAACCGGTAAGGATCTCTCGAGGTGCGGTTATGGACGACTCGAAGATGCCCAGATTATAAGTCAGGGAGTCGGCGTTTGTTTGCGAAAGTTCGTACACGCGGTTTGGGTGGGTGACGAATTCAAGCGTCCTCTTCAACCGAGGGCCAACCGTTCGGTTTTTGCCCGGTCGCCAAGTGCGTGCGTGCGCCTGGCCTTGTCTGCCAGTAGCCAATCAGCAGGCGACGCAGCGTCGATTGGTCTTGAACCCTCACCACGCAGGTGTTAAGACATTCTTGGATCAAGCAATCAAGTGAGGGGGGCGGACTAGGGGTGAGCGGCTGCGTTGAGGATCGCGAGAGCCGACTGCCACGAAAGCTTCATTTCGGAAAGGTTGTGGTGGGAGGCGGCGAACCGGGGGTGAAGTCTATAGTCGTCACTTTCATTAACTCATCGCTTTTAGTAAAAAGAGCACTTGACTTCTCCCCCCCCTCCGTCCTCGGTAGCAAACTGATAAAAATATTTTGAGTGTTGAATCCGTGAAAATATGCAAATGACCTCCAGGTTACTCTGATCACACGCGCAGAGGATATCAGCAATTTCATCAGTCTGGCTGCATTCGTTCTGGTTGTTAATTTCACACTTTTTTCACTTTCGATCAACCTGCTTGCTAAAGTACACATTAAATAAAAGGCTAATGACTACCTGCTATTATTTTAAATGGTTGAGACAACGCACTGTCCCACTGTTACTGGAGAGAATATTAAATTACAGGTCCCATTCAGGGGTCGCGCGAGATCCCGGACAGAGCGCCCAAACCACTATTCACTTTTGTTGACGAGGCGCGTCTGAACTCAACTCCAACGTACAGAAGTGAGCATCACATTTTTGTCGCTTCATTATACTTATTTTTTCTAAAGTTTAAGATTAAAACCTTCAGAGTGCAAGTGTTTTTCTCCAGCGTATGGAATCCACCAGATCTGATACAGTAAGTTGACTGTCGAAGCAGGATTTTCTAAGTAATCAATTTTAAATCCGCCAGATGACTACCGGGTATAGTAGATTAATAGGTGAGAACTGGTAGCTCAGGTGGCCAGAGCGTTGCCTAGGCGGAAGCCTTCCTCTTCCTGTCATGGGTTCGAATCCCACCGAGTTCGTCAAGTAATTCACAGGTGAATAATATTGGATCCTTCAAAATCTGTCAAAAACACCCATGCATATCCGCAGTATGAAACTTGCTTTATTACACGTTTTCTTGCTGTATTCAGCTTTCTCGCAGTAATACTCTGAAGGGATTGGGACAGACAAAATGCCTAGTCCTATGGAAGTACATACCCCAGGTATCTTCATGCGGTTCATTTGACAAGTTGCTTCGGTCAGTAGTATGTGACAGCTAGACAGAGTTTGTTTCAGGAAGCTACGGGGGAGAACTTGGTAACATTTAAGGGCTGTACAGAGTAACCGCCTTGTGCACTGTGCTCATGAAACGACCTATCGTTCCAACATGGCGCATCCCCTCACTGAACACACCCCTCCCTACAGCCGGGGTCTACAGACCCCAAAATACATGACAAAATAACTACCCCGAACCTCCAGGTTTGTGACGACTTCATCATGTTTATTTCCAGGTTTCATTGCGCTGAAGGACTGCTTCCTTCCCAGTCTTCTTGATGAAGATGGATATAATCCCGAAAAAGAACGCCTTCAGGAAGCCTTCCTAGAAAGCGTTATTCGAACGGACGTAATGATGGAAGCAAAACTTTTTCTGGTAGAACGACAGTTAGCACCATCGGACCAAAACTCTTTCAAGAGCTTTCTACGAACTCTTTGGTTTTCACCATATAAACGCGGAAAGTGAGTCAATCGTCGCTTCTTGAACGGACGCCCACTGTTTGACTAATAATGCAGTAAACATGTTTGCTGATATAATAGTTAGTAGTGTATTTATTAACTAATTTCCATTTCTCACAGGCGTGAAAATTCATGTGGCTTCGAGCACGTCTTTCTAGGCGAGAGAAGGGGGAAAAAGGTCTTCGGTTTGCATTACTGGCTGACTTTTTACCTTCGGGAGAAAAGCGGCGAAATCAATTATCTGGGTCACAGTAAACAGGTGCGTATGTTGTGGCAGAATTGTCACAGACTTGCGATTTCGCCAGCGACCTGTTTACAATCTTCACCGTCCGCTAATGCTCCCTCTGCGTTTTCAGAGTAGGAATCCGATCAGCGCCCTCTACACCGTGGCCTTTCGATGGAACGAAATCTTCCTGAAGGACTTTGATCGTTTTCTGGTCGGTACCTCACCGGAATTTGATATGGCACTCTACACAGTCGTCTTTCTGACAGCCAGTCAGCGCACACCAAAACAATTTCGGTTGGGAGTTTCGCTCAAATACAACAACAGTCGGATTGCAATCCAATGTTATAGAATGGAACCGAAGAAAATCGGAACATGTTACATTGTTTGAACGCGCGGCCTCAAATTTGACCTTTTTAACTTAGACCTTCCTAGCCTTAATCATCGCTAATTATTTCAATCAACTTGTCATTTTTGTTGACATTGATGAGTTTTTTTTTATTTTTTTCTTCCTCCGCATCGCAAATCTGGATGCCATTTCGCAGAATCTCTATCTAAATCATTTATCGCCCTCCGCTCTCCCCCCCCCCGTCTCCCCAAAATTTAATTATATTTTTCCTCGCTTCTTCTCGTATTCTTGTTTTTATTTCGGGGTTATACAAAAAATGGGGATTACGAAGTCCCAATGGGATGATTTCAGCTAAACAGTAATTGGAACGAAATTCTCAGCAGCAGTGGCAGTGATATTAATAGTAATCGGAGTGCTAAAACCGGTATTAGTAGTAGTAGTAGTAGTAGTAGTAGTAGTATTGGTAGTAGTATAAATGTAAGTATTAACTTTTCTTCACCGATGTTTACTTGCGTCAGTTTGTTTTACCATACAGGAGAACGGTTTTCAGGCCTTAATGTACGACATTCTACTTATAGTAAATGGTGTAACTCATGAAATGCCGTAATTGAAATTTCGGTATGTAGAATCCTGAATGTTTGGTGTTTTTATGTGTGTCTACTAAATTGATCTAGGGTGCAGAAAGCTACTTATTACAGTGGCCTTTATTTAACTTCTCTTTTATAGCGGAAAGAAAGGCCTGATTCGGGCGAAATCTGACATTTTTTGATATCGGGACAATTTTTTACGGTATCGAAGTGCACAGGTCGAAAACCCATATTTATGCACAGCCAAAACCTTTGCAAGCTAATAGGAACGAAGAAACGAGTCCCAGGAAGTAGTCATGAAGAAGGAGACACGATCGCTGGGACAAGAGCTTTATTAACCTGACGATCCCGGATGAAGGTAGCATGGCCACTTCATCCTATAAATACCGCAGCCCCTTGTGCATCAACCACCCGTATCTGCTTTTGTCTCTGATGGTGAATTCGAGCAGGAATCCGAAATGTCAGGCTAATAAAGCTCTTGTCCCAACGATCTTGTCTCCTTCTTCAAGCTCTGCAAGCGTTTGCTATGTCATGCCCAGAAAGACATGGCCCTCGCAGCCTGGCATGCGCTGACAGTTCTTCGATACCTGGTTCCCTGACGGTGGACGCACTGGCGCTCCCGCTGGGTATACAGGTGGCTGCTCTGTCATCAATCTCCTTTTAACCCGTCGTGGTGTTGTTTTTGCTGGTTAAAATCCCGGCCAGTTGCTGTGTGGACCAGGGGATGTGGAGTGGAGCACCAAGGTGCGGGTTCGGCCGCGCCGTCCAGCTGCGTTCTCCCCCACCCCCGGTCTCTTTGACTATTCCTTGACGCGGGGCTCAGGTGGGGGGGGGGGAAGGAAGGAGTGCGGTAGATGCTGCGCAAGTTTACTCTCATTATAAACTAATACACGCGCAAGGCACTGTGCCTGCTACACCTTGCTGTGGAGCACATGGTGGGCATCATCGGATGCGACGGTCGAACTGTCGTAAATGAACATAAATACAAACAATAAAGGTGTAAAATAATTCCTTTCTAGTAATTGGATTTTGTGTGCGTGTAAATCAGGTGAAGGCAAATATGAGAAATATCACTGTTTTCGGGAAAAGTGGAGCGAATTCAGCTGTGAAAATTCTGTTCTGCCAATTTCTGGCGTTCCGTGCCACAGAACTCCGCAATAGTCGATTTATTCTTATTATTATTTCTGCTGGTTGCGCGGTTTATAGTCAGATCGTTAGCAACTTTCAAACGTAAAATTAGTTAAAACGCTCGTCAGACCCTCCTCTCTCAAGTTATTTCGACAGACCACTAGAAAACGGTCACATCTGAAATTCTTTCCCGAAGATTTCCCTTTTTAAAGAATTTAGGAAAGCACTACGACCATGTGCGCTGCTGCTCAAAATACGCCTCCATGCGGAGTCGATCTCGCGACCTTCAAGAGTCCGCTCATCAGCCCAGACCGCTCGGCCACCTCGGCACGGTCTCCAGCCCTCCCACAAAATTATATGGATTATACGGGCGAGCCATACGCAAATAGGCTTTGTGGTGGGTGTCAGCTGTTAGCTTCCAGGGTCAACCATNCGAAGGAAAGCGCATTTCTCCCTCCCGACTGCGACATAGTGGACGGGCCAACGATTGAGCACGCCTCTTTCGCCGAAGCTATTGTTCGCAAAGAACTGTTGAAGTTGAATGAGTCTAAATCACCTGGGCCGGATGACATACCGCCCAAATTGTTGAAGGAACTTGCTGGAGAACTATCCAAACCGCTGTCCATGCTCTTCGAAGCTTCGTTCGAAGCAGGCTATTTGCCCTCCGATTGGAAATCAGCGCGGATCACGCCAATTTATAAAGGCGGCAGCAAGGTCTTAGCAAACAACTACAGACCAATCAGCCTTACTTCAATTTGCTGCAAAATTATGGAGAAAATAGTAAAGCGAGAAATAATGCACTTCCTAGAAGAGCATAATCTGCTATGCGATGCCCAGCACGGATTTCGTAGAGGCAGATCATGCGTGACGAATCTACTATATTGTTTAGATCGCTGGACCCGGGCAGTCGATGGCAGCAATGCAGTGCACGCAGTCTACGTCGACTTTAAGAAAGCATTCGACAGTGTACCCCATCAGCGTCTCCTGTACAAACTAAACCGAACAGGCCTGAGGGGTAATCTCCTGAGGTGGATACAAAGTTTCTTGATCGGTCGCTCTCAAATCGTCCACGTCGGTGACAGGCAGTCGGCGGAGGTAGCGGTTGAAAGCGGTGTTCCACAAGGCTCCGTTCTTGGTCCTACCCTATTCATTATATACGTCAACGACTGCGTCAGCGAACTGAATTGTGATGTCGCCATGTTCGCTGATGATGTTAAACTTTGGAGCGTCATCCGAACTGAATTTGACGAAGAGCGCTTGCAGGCAGACCTGACCCGACTCGAGAAGTGGTCACAGGACTGGCTGTTGCCGTTTAATGTGACTAAGTGTAATGTCATGCGAGTCGGCAGGACACGATCTCTGAACCGGAGGGTTTACCACCTAAACGGCGTACCATTGCAGGAGGTAGACGCCCAGAAAGACTTGGGGGTGTGGGTAACGGCTTCTCTAAAACCGTCGCTTCACTGCTCCAAGGTAGCCAAGTCTGCGATGTCAGTCCTTTATCTTGTCAAGAGAGCTTTCTCTACCTTCGATGAGGACTGCTTCGTTAAAGTCTTTCGGACTTTCGTACGACCACAGCTAGAGTTCGCCATTCAGGCGTGGAAACCGTGGACCTCTAAAGATCTCAGCATCCTCGAGAAAGTTCAGAGGCGGGCAACCAAACTCGTAGGTGGACAGGGTTCACTACCCTATGAAACCCGATTGTCCAATCTCGGTCTCTTTCCACTGAGTTACAGACAGCTAAGAGGCGACCTTATACAAACATTCCGTCTACTGCGCGGCCAGGACTGCTGTCTCGTACCTACTGATTTCTTTGAGTTAGCGACCACAACGAACCTCCGAGGTCATCCACTTAAACTACGCGTAACTGGCGCCAAGCTGGACACTCGGAAGTTCTTCTTTTCAAACAGAGTGATCGAGGACACTCGGAAGTTCTTCTTTTCAAACAGAGTGATCGAGGCCTGGAATGCTCTGCCTGCAGGTGTCGTCATGTCCACCTCCGTCGAGGCTTTTAAGCGCAACTTGGACCAGATTGCCACCAATCGTCACAATGCCACCTGACAGATTGTCTAGCATTTCGTCGAACAGTTTAGTAATGTTGTTATATTACTTCCTATATTTCAGTAACGTTTGTTTTTTTAATATTGTCCCATGTCTGTTAAATGTGTGTTGGCATTCAATTCGTCTCCCTCCGAAACTGAGATAGCACCAACTATCCCTCGACAGACTACTGTACAGCACTTTTAGTAACGTTAATGTTTTTAACTTTTGGAACAATTCGTTTATCTGTCTGGCTTACAAAACGTTGCCAATCTGAAGAAACTCTGTAGCCGTTTGATGTTTCAATTTTCAAAATTTTTTTTTTTTAATTGTTCGCCTCCTTGTAACAAAAAGGGAGTTCAAAGGTTTAACACCTATATTTCCCTCAAATAAACTGAACTGAACTGAACTGAATAGTAGGTTGTTTTGCCACACCGAGAACTAATAGGCGAGAACATATATATATCAAGTGAATAATTTCAGAAATTACTCAGTGCAGGACATGGAGTTAAGTCTCCGTGACATGACTTTTTTAGGGTCAGAACCGAAATTTCATATATATATATATATATATATATATATATATATATATATTGCTAATAGAAGCGAAGATGCGCGTCCCCGGACATAAATGAGAAGAAAAGGCGAACTCGGGAACCCTTGTTTTACTGTCCTGACGTTTCAAAAGCATACAAGCAGCGAGGACGGATGACAGAAAATGCGGGTAGATTGATACAGCACTGTTTCGGGCGTATTCTGACTTCATTCAGTCAATCATAACCCTGACCACCAGCAGCTGAGATCAGAAACACAAACATGCGCACAGACGCACAGACGCACCTGGCGCAGTCGGTCCACCACTGAGGCCTACCAGATGGGTCATAAGCACTTCATCGAACTGAAGTTCATCAGTGCCTCGCCACCTGTCCTTCTCTGTCGCTGCAGATCGGGTATTTATCAATCAGGAATGGACGCACACCGATCTGTTGGCTTCACAAAGCAAACAAGCTCCGTATGTGATGAACTTCGGTTCGATGAAGTGCTTATGACCCATCTGGTAGGCCTCAGTGGTGGACCGACTGCGCCAGGTGCGTCTGTGCGTCTGTGCGCATGTTTGTGTTTCTGATCTCAGCTGCTGGTGGTCAGGGTTATGATTGACTGAATGAAGGCAGAATAAGCCCGAAACAGTGATGTATCAATCTACCCGCATTCTCTGTCGTCCCTCCTCGCTGCTATTATGACTTGGCCGACTTGGCCGACTTCGGCAATTGGAGACAGTTTGCCGTTTCTGGACGTGAGAATACAGAAGTTGAGCGATGGTGCCTTGGCAACAAGCGTCCATAGGAAAGACTCTAACTCTGAGATTATCCTCAACTATGGAAGCAACCACCCCGCAGCTCACAAAAGAAGCTGCGTCCGAACTCTGTTCCACCGGGCCTACCGTTATTGTAACAGCAACGATCTCCTGAACAAAGAGCTTGCTCACCTGTATCGGTTATTCCGCTCTAACGTATATCCGATCAGTTTTGTAAAGAACTGTCTCAGGCACCAGACACAGTCGCAAGACCCCACCCCCAACGGAGAGATTGTGACGCGAAAATTCTACTCCTTGCCATATATGCGTGGAACTTCCGAAATAATCGCTCGGCAGTTCAGCCGCTTGGGTATTCACGTTACCCACAAACCGGCATCTTCACTACGCGCAGCAATATCTCGAGTGAAGGATCCCATCCCCAAAGAGCAACAAACGAATGTAATTTATCGTATCCCGTGTGCTAATTGCTCTTGTGTGTATGTTGGCCATACAGGTCGATGCCTGGGCACTCGTATCAACGAACACAAACTAGCTATCCGTCGGCGAGACCCACTGTCCCTTGTCTTTGCCCATGCACTCGAGTACGACCACCGATTCAATTGGGATGGCACTGAGGTCGTCGCCATGGCTAACACAAAGCGAGCGAGGAAATTTCTCGAGGCTTGGTACTCCGATGCGGGTAGTATCAACCGCCACGTTGATTTAGATGCCCATTACGAGGGTCTACGTTCACGAATGACTGCCCCCTGCCCTAATCACGCATCAACGACCGCGAATACAGCCGCCCGCATTCCAACTGATTCACCACCCGCCCTCCCCCTCCAGCACGGTGTGCCGTAATTGTTCCGCCTCCTCTCCCTTTCCCCGCCCCTCACTCAGTGACCTACAATAACCTCGGGAGCCCACCCTCCCCCTCACACGTCAGTGGTCTGTTCTGTCCTATCACACCAGCTGATCTACTGTGACAACATACCTTTCTCCCTCGTTTTCATTTCGTCTGACGACGGGTTGGTGTCACCAGCTCGAAAATTCACGAGTACAATTCGACTTTTTCCGAAGAACCTATTCTACTTTTCATTATATCAACTCGGAATGCATACCCCCTCTGAGCTACATATATATATATATATATATATATATATAATGTTATGGGGCGCTCACCGATCGTTCATACGGAACTCACTCGTTCCGTTGTGCCTTAAGGGCTCTCTCTCGAGCCCAACCAGCAGCCGCACAGCGGCGCATGATATATAGGCAGAATGGAATCATCGACAAAGACAAGGGAGACTGGAATGGCCATTTCTGGCTTATTAGCCGTCGTCAGCCAGCCATACCCAAGCCCGAAGTGTGGAACACCCGAGCCTCGAACTCGCGACCTGTTGGTTTAGAAGTCAACGCCTCTACTCACCGGGCCACGAGCCCGTTGCCCTGTCGGTTTTCGATCGGGAATATACAATGTTATGGGGCGCTCACCGATCGTTCATACGGAACTCACTCGTTCCGTTGTGCCTTAAGGGCTCTCTCTCGAGCCCAACCAGCAGCCGCACAGCGGCGCATGATATATAGGCAGAATGGAATCATCGACAAAGACAGGGGAGACTGGAATGGCCATTTCTGGCTTATTAGCCGTCTCCAGCGTCTCTAACTTTTGAAGAACCGCCTCAGCAATGAAACCAGACAGCGGCGAACCCATTGGAGTTCCTTTGATTTGTTCATAGACCGTTCCTTCAAAGGTGAAATAGGTCTTGAGGCAAAAATGTAGCATCTGGATAAGGTGCCCTCGTTTAAGCTTATTGGTCTCGTCGTCATATTGACTCTCGAGTAGATCGCCGACAGTTTCAATTGCTAGACTCTGAGGAATTGAGGCTAAGAGTGAGGTAACATCAAATGATACCATGACTTCGTCTGCATTAAGGTGTAGACCCTGGAGTTAGAGACGCTGGTGTTTGCAACCCACAGACCAATATTTTGGGCACGGTATGTGGACGACACCTTCGTCATCCTCAAGCGGGAGATGGTCTCCGAATTTCACACGATCCTGAACTCTGTTTTTCCGGACATCCAGTTCACAATGGAGGCAGAAGTCAACAACCAGTTAGCGTTCCTAGACGTCCTGGTCCACCGCAACACCAACGGGAGCCTAAGAACGACGGTATACCGAAAGGCCACCAACACACGTCAGGTCCTCAGTTACTACAGTAAACACCCGCTGTGCCATAAACGCAGCTGTGTGCAGACTCTTTACAAGAGGGCGGAAACTCACTGCAGCGAGGCAGCCGACAAAATAGCCGAGCTCCATTATCTTCGGCGGATGTTCATCTTCAACGGTTAGCCTCGCAGTTTCATCGAACGCAGCAGGCAACCAAAGAAGGCTATAAGGCCAACGAGAGAACAACCAAAAGTGTGGCGGGCGCTACCGTATATTGAGAATGTATCCGAAGCAGTCGCTCGTCTCTTACAACCACTGGGGATCGGCGTCGCCCACAGACCTGAAGCGACAATAAGACGTCTCGTCATGAGACCCAAGGCCCCTCTGTCACGAGGCGAAACAGCCAATGTCGTCTACCGTGTCCAGTGTAGTTCCTGTGAGGCGAACTACGCTGGAGAGACCGGAAAACGTCTACAAACCCGCATGAGTGAGCACGCAAGGGCAGTGAGAAGGATGGACCAACTCTCACTGGTGGCGGAACATTGTGCTGCCTCTGGACACACTTTTGCCTTCCAGAGCGCCGAAATCCTAGGTCGAGGTACCGACAAGACGGCCAGGGAAACGCTCGAAGCCTGGCACACCGTACCAACTTCCATCAACCGCTGCACGATTCTCCCGGCGGCTTACCAGGCCCTACGAGTGCGGTTCAACCAACGGAATCAAAGGCAGGAAGTCAGGACCACAAGCCCAAGTGAACACAGTTCGCGCCCAAACACCGATGACGGGGGTCAGCAGGCCGATAAAGGAGACATAGGCAACGGGCCAGCAACCACCGAGGTACACACTGGCAGAGGCAAACGGGCGACAATTACGAGAAATGCGGGTCAGGCGCAACAAATGCGGGCAATGCAGACGAGGTCAATGACCGTTGCCATCCCGACACAGCCCACCCGACAAGGAGACGAAGGAAGGGACCGACCAGCACGACAGCAATTAACTCCTCCCCCGCAGTAGATCCTGCACGAATAGCAGTAAGAACGACAACACTCCCGCATGCTCAGCACCCATAAATACTGTGAGGCGCCGTACAGAACCCACCTCCGACGATGGAGGCTTGTATGCTTTTGAAACGTCAGGCTATTAAACCTATGGTTCCCGAGATCGCCTCTTCTTCTCATTTATCCCCGGGGACGCGCATTTTCGCTCTAATTGGCAATATATGTATATATGTATACCTTGAGTACCCGCGACGTACTGTCAATTTTTTGTGTCATGCCGTGCGATGAAAATGTCCAAGCAGTTTCAATCAACAGTAGAATAGCAGAAATGACCAGTGGGAGGGTTGTCAATTGAGTCGTTAGCATGTATTTTCAACATTACTAAGGTTACCCTGTGACGAATTATTAGTGATAAAGCCGTGCCCTGAAGAAATTGGGGTAGACCAAAGCGGTCCACGAGTATGTAGGACGGAGGCTTTGCTCGTTATACACTAAAATAATCTAATTATATGTCTACTAGCTGGACCCCGCGACGCACTGCGGTGGCTCGGTCTGATGA